CTAGGCTATTACAATGGCCTCTTAATTAAGAGTCCGTTACTTCCCAATGTGCTGTGAGTTCAATTTTACATTCTGCATTCATCACTTCCTGCATTCTCCAAATATTTGAGTACCTCTTCTGTGCCAGCTACTGCTTTAAGATTGAAACCAGAGAACAAGTCAAAGATGGCTGACTCTCACAAAACTTACTCTGTAGTTGTGGAACAGAGATAAAGGGCAAAGCATAAGTATACAAGATGGAAGAAAGCAATTAGCAATACCAAAGAACTCTGGCACCAAAGGTGAAGGTGGGCATGTTGGTGAGGGGATGGTATAGGGAGGCCAGAGGGGCTGGTGGCCTAGGGGAGGAAGATCTAAGAGAACAGGTCACTGGGCTAAGAGGAGCGTGAGTGGGGATGGAGGAGGAGCAATGGTAGAGCACATAGGTCCTCAGAATATTTGACACTGACTTGAAACATCTGCTTGCAGCATCTCTGGCTTTTACTCTGAGTATGATGGGAAGCCCCGGAGAGTGCTAATTTCAGTTTTAAAGGGGTCTTTCTGCCTGCCCCGCTCAGATTCAAGGTCTGATGCAGCAGGGTGAGCTGGAAGGAAGCTGTAACACAGGCAGGGGATGATGGTGGCCTAGCTCACTCACGGACTGGGGAAAAGTGGAAAAATATTACAGTTTTAAAAACTGTTGGCTCCTGATTCTGTAGCACCAACAAGATGGATATGGAGTATGAAAAAAAGAGTAGGATCATACTATAGGGGGAGGAGGTTCATTTTTTTTTCATTTATCAAATATCTTCAATAGCAGTCCAGTGTCTAAATCCTAGATTGTCATTCAAGTGTCTACAGGCTTTAGGCTAAACATATCCATGCAAATATTATTTTGTGACATCATCACCTCTGTTTTGCTCAGGTTACTGGCTCTATAATAATTATCATATTGGGCTGGGGATTTAGCTCAGTACCACCATGCCTGCCTGGCAAGCACAAGATCCTGGGTTTGATTCCCGGTACAAAAAAAAAAAATGATCATATTGATGAGATAAATGATAACACCAACCAAGATACTCCTTTCCAAGGCCCACTTTATATGAAGAATCCCTTTATTCTCCAGGCAGAGTAATTCCCTCCTCTAAGTTAAATGGCTGAACCAAATTATTTCTACCTTTTAATACTTCTTCTCCCATTATTTATAATAATCTATTAGTTAATATTTGAGTTCTATGTGCGATACATGTCATACACTATGTAGGTTATCTCATGTAATACTTGTAATATGCTTGGGAAGCTCATTTTACACATGAGGAAACTGAGGCTTAGACAGGTGAAATAGTTTACCAAAGTCCAAAAGCTAGCAAGAGGCAGGGTCAGGGTATAAATCTATGGTCCTCTAATGCTCTCTATTTCACTTTTGATAGTTGATGTCAATTCATTGCTCATCATATAAGATTCTCTACTGTTTATATATTTTTATTTCTATCTCATTGATTCCAATGAATGTTATTAAATTCTGATACAGATTATTTATTGATGCAGACCTAACCTTTCTTAATAAGAAACTAACCTTTTCAGAGAAGTAAATACAGGAGGGCCTCATGTGGAAAAAGCAGGTATTGCCAGAAAAAGAAAGAGCAACTGCAGTTTTTCCTTTGATTCATGCCTTATATCAGTCCTTAATGTAATTGTTTTATAAAGCATGGTTGTAATTTGAAAGCTTATATGTTCCATTTCGGATAAAATTTTAAGTTACTGTAGAAAAAAATTCCCCTAATTTATTTTACACATACAAAATTAACAAGGAAGATTTATAAATGTCCCCTTGCAGGACACAAACATTTCAGTATAAAAAGTCCTGCCCATACAAATTGATCCAGGCACTGAAGATACAAAATTAAAAGAATTAAAAAGGCATATCAACTAATGTACACAAATAAATAACAAAACAAGGGCCTGAAAAGTGGCTGAAAATGATACAGCTTAAAGAAAAACATTTTATTTGAGAATAATTTTAACAAAATAGATGATTTTTAAAAAGTTCTATTTGAGAATAATTTCAAATGAGAGTTGCACAAAAAATAATAATATAAAGAACATTTTCATATCTTCCATCTCGATTCACCAGATTCAACTTTTTGCCAACATGTTTAGAAATGAGAAATAAGAAATTTATATAAAACACTGGCATGTTGAGGTGGTTGTTGATGAAAATTTGCATGTTTTAAATCTCACATCTAGATTCATATGTATACATATACACACATGTATATATACACATATATATCGCAGGTACACACATGGACATATATTACACATGCTTTTCTTAACCATTTGAGGGTAAAGTGACACTTATCATGGCCTTTCATCTTTAAAAACAGTATTTTCTAAGAATAAGGATATTCTCTTATATAACCACAATTTGGCTAGAAGTTTCAAATTGAGTCAGTACCTTCATCTAATCGACCAACTGTATTCCAATCTTATTAGTTCACCCTGTAAGGTCCTTTATAGCATTGATCCCACTGCAGTATAGGATCTAGTCAGGTACTGTATTTAGTTTTTATGTCTCTTTTAATGTGGAACATTTTATCACCATTTTTTTTCTTAATGGCAGTGGCATTTCTCAGAATATAAACACACACACACACACACACACACACACCTTGAAAATAAAAGTCTCTCATTTAGGGTTTGTTGCATCATGAGCAGATTCAGGTTATATGTTCTCAGCCAGAATACCCTTTTCAGGGTTTCACATTTGGAGTCACAATGACCATCTTATCTTCAATGGTGACACCAGTACGTAGCACTAAAGTGTTTTCTCATTTTCCTAGAGTATAATTACTATTTTCCTCCTTGTAATTAATAAGTGGTTTATAAAATTACTTTAAAGTCATATAAATATGTAGATATCCTGCTCTTCATTAAAATTTTCCCATCAATTTAGCAGCTAAATTTCTGCCTAATTCAGTCTTTACTAAAGCAGACACAAAATGCTAATTTCCAAATCTAGGAGTTTCTGCAGTTACCAATAAGCACTCAAGAGTCTACTATAAGCAAAAGAACATTCTCCTTGTTAATTATCTAATCTGTTTACAAATGCTAGGGGTTCATGAATTACTGTTTTTCAATGGTTTATAATTTGTTACTGTAGTGTTTAATTATTTTGATGGCAAAGTTCTTCCATATTTGTCCAGATAAACCCCTGTGAAATACCCCCCGTCATTTTGAGCATTTCCTTATTTTCTGGCAGAAGAAGTTTCAGTCGTATCAGTCATTTTTCCAAGGAGCCTGGGCTCTTTTTTAGTGGAGGGTGGTATGTGGACACTTAGGCTAGGTACTCCTTAGATTTAGATCTTCTTTTAATTCTGCAGTTTTCTGGGATCATATTTCTAAATATTAGTGCTGTTCAGTTGTTTAGACTGAGTTATTCAAGAAACTTGTGCTTCTTGATTACATTTTTTGATTTCCTGGCTGTATTCAATGCCTTTTCCCTGGAACACATTCTGCCTTGGACACTTGGCAACTTAGTTTTCATTTCTGACATGACTTTATGTTTTCCTTTTATTTCTTTCCTAAATTTTATCAACTCTCATTTTGTATTTTCCTATTTTTTAATTTCCACTTTTTTTCTTTTCAAATTGACTTTTTTTTTTCTTAGCCTCAAATGCTTATTGAGGATATCTGATTGAGTTTGGAGTGTTTCATTCTGGTACTCTTTAGCTTTGTGGTTCTACTGTTTTGGAAAATTTTTATGAGGAGGAAAGCTTTAATTCATATGGTTTAATTTTTGCAATTGTTTGGTAATGATGGGGACAGAATTTTCCTCTATTCTTTTTTTTTTTATTTCCTAAAAAGAGTTCTAGTTCAAGAGCACCCCCTTCTGTATTCTTTTATGGAACATATGTGGTAGGGTGTGTATGTCTCATTTCTCTGCATTTCTGTAAGATCTTAATTTCCCCCTCCTGCTCCTTCTTTTCTAGTCTCCTTTCCCTTGTCTCCAAAGCATACCATCCATTCTCTATCTACCTTATTATCTCCCAGAATCAACAGTTGTTGGAGGCTACCATTTCTGGTTGCACACACTTTCCAGTCCTTCTTGGAGCCAGTACTCAGAACCACCCAGTCTTGGCTGATGTTCAGTGTTTTGGCATTGACTGACACCCTTTCTCTTTCTAAAGATGATTTTCTTGCATTTTATCTACTTCCTCTATTTTTCTCTACTCTTTTTCAGAGTATTTTAAGCCTCAGCTCCTCTGCTTTCTGTACCCCAAGCTTCAGTGGCAGGCAGGCTGCCAGAGTTTTGCTGGAAACACTTTTTGCTCTATTTATATAACTTTGAAGGTTGCAATCTGTGTCACATAGTCATATTGAAGTCATGGTATAAATCTTGTATGGTACTTTTTGTTCTCTTTGTCGATTTTATGTTTTCTGGGAGGTCAGTGTGAGGGGAATTCAAAATGAAGCAATCATCATTGCTCTCGTACAGTATTCTCTTAATTCTTTATTCTTATTTATATTTTATTTGCTACTTGTGCTTCTATTTCATTTCTTTTAACCTGCATGAGATTCTCTGAAGACTATCCAAGGTGAAAATAAAATTTAACTTTTTTATCAACAATTAAATGCAAATAATACTCTGCCTTGGAGACTATATTTTGGATGGGTTTTATTTTTTAAATAAAATAAGGTATGAATAGCAAAAAAAAAGTGAAAAAGGAAAAGGAAAGCTAAAGTGGAAGAAAAAAGGAGTGGAAAAGCAATGAGATTGGTCATTTTGGTCCACGGACAGCAAGTTCAAATGGGAGATTTAACATTTCTTTGAGCCACAGTAGCAGGACTTCAGTACAGGCACAGCCTTCAAAAGTTTTTAAGATCTGTACTATTTTATACTGTTTTCCATGCATAAATAAGCCCTAGGCTATTATAAAGGATCACTGTTTTAGAATTATACCTCATGTTCACGTATACACATGAGGACACACGCATATATGCACAATCCTCGCACTTACTTGCTTCACATTCTGGAGCTCTTCCATCAGCTGTCTCCTTTGTTGCTCTGATTCATGTAATTTTTCCTATATTTAAAAAGCACTGAATTAATAACTTCTTATGAAAATACAAAAAGGTATAACTTTTAGTCCTTTGTTTCAAAGCTTATGTATTCCCCAACCATCAAATTGCTATAATCTGAAAATGTGGGTCCCAATTACTTTTCTGGCTTTGCATGTATTGTTTAAAAGCAATTAGTTTTCTGTAATGTGACTGTGGTAGAAACACATTTTCTGCTACCTTAATTTTGTAACATCCCCAAACCTGAGATTCCAAAAAGTCAGGATCAAACTGTAAATATTAACTAAATTTTGTCCAACATTTAGCAACTTTAAAGGGCTTCCAAATTAAAGAGCATTATTGTTATAAATTAGAAATATTGCCTTTAGCAATATGAAAGACAGCATATGAGACTGGGTTGACTACTGGTTTTCTAATTTATTTAATATATATATATTTTTTTGGTACCAGGGATTGAACTCAGGTCCTTGTGCTTGCACAACAGGCAGAGAAAGGACTGAGCTAAATCCCCGGCTGGTTTTCTAATTTAATGTTAGCTTATTGAAAGATTACCCATAAAAAGAAAGATATGCTCAGTATAACCAAAATAGGAAATAATATTATTAAGGTAGATGAATATTATTACATGCAAGTAAAGTATCATCTTTGAACTGAAAATTAAATTAAGTATATACTCTAAAATGTCCAATTTTCTTAAAACTAGCTTTTAATAAACACATTTTATTGACCAAATCAAAAATACTGAGAGTCATTTAAAAGCCATTTTACTATAAACTTGAGCAGAGAAATTGCTTGAATATTAAATTGAATGGTAAAGAGTTATGGCAACATTGCAAAGTTTATGAGGGGCAATCTGCTTTCTGGAATATTTCAGCTCATTCTTGTCTGAGAGGTGAAATTGAAGGAATGTGAAAATGAATATAACATAGCAATCTAATGAATATGCTGCAGATCAGGAGCCAAGAGACTGCTGGTTCTTATGGTTTTAGGTTCTAGAAGTCACCTTCACTCTTTGTGCTCTACATTTTACATCTGTAAATGAAAAACTATTTTCATTCACTTTGCAAAGCAGTAGCAATGCGAATGCTATAGAAAGGCTTTAAGTTATATACACCCCACAGAGCTTCTAAAGATAATTTTTGTAAAATAAAAATTAGTCACTGGCATAAAATCATCTTGGTTTCATACTTGTACCTCAAGTCAGACTTGAAGAATAGTAATATCACATGATAATGAAAAACGATGACAAACCATCTATCTCTACATTGTATGAACTTCATTGAACAACTCGTGTGTGTGTGTGTGTGTGTGTGTGTGTGTGTTTATTCAAGTAGAAAACCTGAAAATACTAACCATACCTCAAAAAAAACATACATTGCTTGGCACATTATTTTATAGAGCTTTAAAACATGGTTCTCATCAACAGATCTTGAGGTAGAATAATTAAAAAACTGTAGAATTTGTTTTATCTGGGATTTCAGGTTTTGTAGCCTTAGGATATAGCCACTTATATTTCATGAACTTTAAATGCGAACCTGATTTATTGGATGGTTCCTCAGGGCATTTTTGTTTAAGTGTTATGAATATGGCTTTATAATTTTAAGTTAAAATTCTAATAATATTGATATTCAAATAAAAAGTAAAAATAAATCATCAAATTTCACAATGATGAAATTTAAGGAAATGTAAGACCTGAGAACCCTGAAAATTCTGATGACCCACAAGATTTTTTTTATAAAATGATAAATCCTATACAAATGTTATCTTACAAGGTAACCAATACTAGAGAAATTTTCTAAGAGAAATGACTGCCATTTTTAAAATCAAATTTATATCTTCAATCTAAACTCTTGTTATATCAAAAATGTGGAAAAATAGTGATTTCAAAGTTAAAATATATATAAAATATTTCTGTAGTAGAGTGCTCAAACATTTGAAAGGAATGTGAAGTGGCAAAGCCTTTTTGAAGGGAATTTGGTAATATATAGAAAATTTTAGTATCTATATCCTTTAATACAGCAATTCCATTATCAGATTTATTTTCTGTAGTACTTGAACAATTTCCCAAAGATACTTCATCAAAGCTATTAAAGGTGAAATTATTTTTAATAATGAAAAACTGGAAATAGTTAAATATCCATCAAGAGGAAACTGGCTAAATAATCTAGGACAGAACTATTTGAAATATAGGAGATTCATTCAGAAGAACATAATAAACCAGCTGTGGCCGGGGATTTAGCTCAGTGGTTCCACTGCCTACCTCGCAAGCGCAAGGACCCGAGTTTGATCCCTGGTACCAAAAAAAAAAAGGTAAAAAAATAAAATAAACCAGCTGTGTTCAGAAAGTCTCTGAAAGGATAAACAGTATATATATATTTTTCCATTTAGTTTATTGGTACATTTTAGGTATACAATACAGTTACATTCATCATTGGGATCTTGTATCTTTACATGATGTATCTTGGTTCTTATTTTTTTCCCATTCCCCATCCCACCCTTCCCTATCTACAAAGACTTTGTTTCCATGTTTTCCCTTTTCTCATATTTTTTCTTTTCCCTTCTTTCCTTTTCCCTTCCCCTCCCACTTCCCCTCTTCCTTTAGATATTTTCTTCCTATTTCACAACATCAATTACACATTTTGATTCTTATTTACACTTTTAGTTTTTCACACCAGAGAAACTATTTGGTACACATGTGTGTCCTCTTAAGTGAAATAAATAGGAAACAGTATATTTTTTAAAATGGCTTCTTTTAGAGGTTGAAATTATAAAAACTAATATAACAAGAAAAGTTTCTTTTTGGTATATTTCAATAAAAGCAAAATCATCAACAAGCAAATTTCACCCATTTAACAAAATGATTTAAAAATAAATATTTCTGTGGTAAACTAATGGTACTTAAAGTAATTATATTGCTTTTATTGAAGATTTGGTAAATATAATGGGGTCTGTATGAATTAGGACCTACTTTAAATTTAATATTCTAGTTAAAACAGAATAAAGCTATATAAAGAGAATGAAAATGATACAGTATATTTGGCACATGTATGTTTTGTGTTCCCTTAAATCGCATTGCCTTAATTTTAAATTGCCTTAGCAAAACATGATGTCCCTTAAAGCATGGTCTTGCACATGGGAAAAAATGCATTTACCAATGAACATGAGAAGATTTCAACTGTCACAGCTTGCTTTGTGGGCTGTTCATATAATTCTGCTATTGCCGCCAATACAAGAGGGGAAAACGGTGTAAGAAGTAGCCAGATAAGAAGGCATGAGCAAAAACCACTGTTCTCACAAATCTCATGTGAATATTCTGAGGTAGAAATAAAAAGTGTACGGAGTAAAAAAGATACTCTCTAAAGGCCAATTAAAGAAAGAATATGATTCTATTTGATGCTACTATTCATTGAAAACCAAATTAAGCCTCAATATTTCTGTTCAGAATTCAACACAGGTTGCTTTTCTTTTTCTTTTTTGTTCCTAAAGAAAATATAAAGAATCTAAACTGGAAGTTACCTTAAGTATATTCACTTCTTCCAAGGCATCATTTCTTTCACGCTTAAGTTTCTCCACTTCATCTGCTTCTAAAGAATCACAGGGAAGAAGCTGTCAACATTAAAATACAAGAAATTATGCATTAGATGCTAATTATCAGAACATATAAATCTTTCTGACTAGTCTGAGGCTTCTGTATTCTAATAAGAAAATTCATTTTCTTACATTGGAGTTGTTTGGTTACATAAAAGCGAATATTAAAGTAATCTGGGACATTTTTATTCATTTAGCTTTACCTTACATGGGTGCTAATTATAATAGAATTCAGATGACTAAAATATATGTTATTCTGCTGTCACCTTTATGATTCTTATTTTAACAATGTAATTTTCCTTAAAGGGTTAAATTTCACGACTTTATTTATAATGTCAAATAGACTTTGGGAGTTATCAATACAAACCATTCCCTAAACACATTCATTCTAAGAGCTAATTATATTATCAATTAAGCTGCTTTATATGATCCCAGAAAAGCATATTTATTAATTTTTATCTGGTTTTAACCAAAGAAGGTAACACAATAGCCAAGTGGATTGAAAATATTCTTGTACAGAAACTATGAATGGAAGATAGAATTAACTAATTCACAAGTAATAACATTAAAATAGCAGAAACTACAATTTCTCTTACATCTAGCATTATCTCTTTGACAGTCAATTGCAAGATTAAGAACAATAACAACCTCGTCAGAGGTAAAATCATAGTATAATTAAAGCCATTTTCTATGTGGTAGCTTTTAAAGTATAAAAATATAAAGGTTTAAGAGGAGAAAGACATTGTTATGTGTAGGTTTTAAAGAAAGACCTTTTAGCTAAGAGAGGCAAATGCAGAGGAAGAGAAGGTAATCAAATTACTGATAATATTATCCATTAATTATAAACTTACTATGTGCAAATACATTGGTAAGGGCTGTATATATATCTAATATTAAAGGCTTGCAATAACCTTGTTGCCATTTTATAGAAAAGCAAACAAGTCTAAGGTTCCACAGCCAATAAATGGCTATTGCAAGATTCCCACTGAATTGTGACACCACAGTGTGTGAATTTTACTATCCAGTAAAAATCACAGGGGAATAGATATGCCAATTTACATTTGCATTATAAACCAAAGAATAACAGAAATAGGACTTTTTCCCCTAAATGTAACTGATTCTTTTTGTCCATCCACATTCACATTTGGGTATCTGTGGCCATTGCCCATAATTGATGTTATTTCATATCCTTCTCCTATCGCTATTATTCTATTTTCTTAGGAGTACGCAACACATTCACTCATCAGAATCCATTCCCATATTGTTTTAGATTAGTTTTGAATACATTTTCAAATGTAACACTATTTCCAAAGTGTGTTCCAGGGCTGGGGATTGAGCCCAGTGGTTTTGCCACCTGTCTCGCAAGCGCAAGGTCCCAAGATCGATCCCTGGTACCAAACAAAAACAAAAACAAAAACAAAAACAAAGTGTGTTCCAAAGGATATAAACTAATATTATGTAAAAGTAAAATTGGGTGGCAGTGGTATATAAAAAAAAGATAACTTTCTGTCCTATACGGCTTCCAGTAGTCCTATTATTCTAATGAGTACATGAATTTACCAAAAGGAGGTATAATTTAATAACTTGTCACAATATCTCATCAGTAATTTGACCATATTACAACTCCCATACCACCAATCCTGTGGCCTTTTATTTATTTGTTTGATATTATCTTATGTTTGTATAATTAATGTCTCTCTGCCCAGCACAATATAGGAAATGGCTACTCAAGATTCCTATGGGCCTATTTCTTATCCTAAGAAGTAAAAAAAGAGGATCCAAAGATTTAAACAAAATTTTGGATAATAAATCTATGATGCTTTCCTAACAGAAATTATGGGTTGAGATTTTAGAGCTAGGATTATGAACTCTGGAGTTTAACATCATGGAAGCAAATCACACATATTTTAGAATCCATTTGGGGAGTCAAAACACTCCCAGGACAAACCATGACTTAAAATAATGTTTTACAATCATATTGCTATTTTGGAACCCTCAACAAAAAAACCATAGGCAGAGAGCTGGTAATAAGTCTTCCTTGTTAATTATTTGAAAAGTCCCTTTATGCTCACTGACATTTTATAAAGCTCTATTCAAATACACTTCCACTAAGCAAGCAGCAAATGAAAAGACTTGTTGCTACTTGACAGACACTTGTTTTGAAGTCCATCTCCAAGTGCTGAACTCCAAGAGATGCTGAAGGTTGCTAGACTTGTTGAACAGGTCTGACCTCGCCTCTCCCTCACTGTTGCTCCACCATCATAATTTTAGTGATTTTTAATTTATGTTCATTCTGGTCAGCTACTATTCTACCATCCACACTCCCTAACTTCAACTCATCTTAAATAGGATAAAACAATAACCTCTGGTTCAGTCTAATTTTATAGATAAGTCTTTCCATTAGGAAACTATTCATTTATACCCTTATAAAACTATGTGTGACTGCATCCCTCTATTCACCTGAACATTTCTGCGTATCCTTTTTTTCTCCTTCCATTTCCCTGCTCAGTCCTTTAAACCTTTCCTCCAAGCCCTATATTTGTAAAATGATTACTTGCAATCGTATCAATAAAACTTCTGTCTGACAATGTAAATGCCCCCACCAACTTCCCCAACCTCTTTGTTACATATAATGTTGCTCAAGTGTTTTCTGAGTTCTCTAGGTTGTGATATCCTATATCTCATTATCTGAACATGTAGACTGTTTCCAATGACTTGTTTTCACTGTTACTGCCTAACAGAGAGGAGGGGATAGGAGGTTTCCAAAGGTTTTCTTTCCCTCTTTTTCTCTACAAACTGAGCAGTAAAGTTCACGCTCATGCGTCCATTATCACTCCCTTAATATTCCCAGATCCCCCTCTTTGTGTGCAGTTATTTCCAATGTCCTTCGGTTATTTAGAACTATCAGTACCTTCAATTTACTCTTTCTAAAGCACAACCTATCATCTTCTCCATTGGTTCCTACATCCAAAGTGTCAGCAAGTCCCACTATGCTGTTTTTCTGTTTTCAGTAAATACCCTAGATCTGTCATTCCTTTCCATTCTTTCTACCTTCAGTACAGTTTACGTCTTCATTATTTTATGTTTGGATTCTCTCCACAGTCCCTAAACTAGTCTACCTACCATCAGTTTCATTCCTTTCCTTGACAACTAACACATTCCATTACTTGTTCTAAAATATCACTTTGATCATGGTATCATTCTTCATAGATTCTGACCACTGTATAAAGTATAAACTTTTACATTTAATATTTTCCCTTTAATGCCTAACTTCTGTTATCTTCATGTACCTAATTATCTTTTTTGAGAAAAAGGTAATTTCTTTCTGCTTATAGTCATATTCTTTTTTGTCAACTTTGTTATGAATCTTCCGTGAATGTTCTAAGCTCCGTTACTATTACTGCCTTATGACACAGTGTATTTTTTGACATAATTATTCATGTACATTACTTTTCCATACACTTTACAGGCCAAGTTTTATCTATGTTAATAACATGTGCCATGGCACCAAACACCATGCCACACACGCTGTCATTGTCCAATATATACTGGTGTTTTACAGATGCGTCTTTGGGGAAGAAGCTATCCAGTGTCTACTGCTATATATACAGTGACAAACACCATTTATGTCATGACCCAAGGTAAGTGAAACATCACCTAATCTCATCACATGCAATTTACTTTGATATTTGTTTAGTGTCAGGGATTTAACCCAGGGCCTCATGCATCAAGGCAAATACTCTACCACTGAGCTATGTCCCTAGTCTCACTTTGATATTTTCATTCTATTCTATTTCATTTGTTAAAATGGTGGTTACAATGCACCAAGTTGATTTAACAAGAGACAAATTGTGAAAAGTCTACTTTAGAGAATTTACATTGCTCTTGCTGTGATGTGAGAATAACCCATTCACGATACTTGCTTAGTCTGATAAAACCATCACATTACGATGGACTACAGGCTGCTGTGGCTGAGTTCGATATACAGCTGAATGTGGGCTCTGACCCTGCCTTTTCTGGGCATAGCCTTGTTCCAGCAGCAGGTGTAGCACTGTGGGGAATTTTTTAATATAGAAATCATGATTAGAATCACAGCAAGATCATTATATTTTGGGTTCTAAATGGCATATTCTTCTAAATCGAAGAGCTCGTTGTTAAATAAACCAAAGTTAGACTAACTTGTACTGACTCAGCAATTCCTCCTTAAAAGATAGCATCTCGGGAAATTGTATGAGTCAGAGTAAATAAGGACCAAAAGAAGCTAGTTACAAATGATTACATACACAATGATTCCATTTATTATGAAGCAGTCCAAGAACAGGCAAAAGTAACCTATGCTGTTTTAACTTTCAAAACAGTGATTCGGACGTGAAGGTGGGAATGAATGACAGCTGACTGGGAAGCCGGCATGAAGGAGATTTGTGTGGTGGGTGATTCCACCTGAGACCCAAAATAGAGATTCATCAAATTGTACACTTACAATTTCTGTACTTACTATGTGTACATTATATTTCAGTAAAAAATAGTTTTAAAAATAAATAAGAAAATGACAAGCTAACTTTCTCAGCCAAGAAAAAGAAAATATATGAGTAGAAGACACGCATCCCTAAGAAAATGATTATAAACTTGACTCTGCTGTCAGTGTAACTGAGATGGCTGGGGGGCAGCCAGAGTGGAATTTCCCCACCTTTGCAAACTGTCAGCACCCTCAACCACCGATCAACTGATACGTTTCAGAGAAGGCACTACACTGGTTGTTCACTTTAAAAAGTTGAAATTTACACTAAAATTACTAAAATTTTAACTAAATTGCAACTAAAATTACATAAAAATAATGTTATTTTAAATTTGTTTTTGGTAACCCACAAGACAAGCAGTGATTTTTACATTTTTCTCAAACTGAATATATCATTCATTAGGTGATAGATTTGTGAGACCAAAGTTTTAATGAGCAAGAAGTGAATATTATTAAATAAGGATGCCATGCATGTAGAAAAAAGTAAAAGGTACTTTCAGAGACTTTTTAGTTATAAATGTGCAGTTAAAAAAAACCAACTCTTATTATGATTCAAACAAACAAAACAAAACACCCCACAAAAATGAAAAATAAGGAAAGCTAGTACTTGACGGTATTTTCTATGTGGTGACAACCAGAACACAACAAAAAAATTTTCTACATTAGTATCATAATGCATAACATTTTGATCTGAAGCCACAATAGGAAATTATTGGCAATTACCATCAGCACTGCACTTTTGCTATCAAAGCATCACTGACTGAATACATTCTTATCTGCCCTAAAATCATGTTGGTAAGAAGGAAGTAAATTACTAATTCAGAGCACGAGTATATTTGCAGCTGCTAAAAAAGCTTTTCATGCTCATACAACTCCCCTCTTCAATGGGATGTTGAAAGCCACTTTTGTGGGCATGGCAGTTTTAGAACTTTCTGGCAGGAAAAAAACAATGCTCTGCCATTGACATTAGGTGGGTAATTCAGGTACCCAATGCTTGAATCAGCAGAAAGAAAACATCAACTGCACTTTAGTTCTGCTCTGCTAAATGTTACAGAATTAGTTTTAAAAAATCAGTGCCTCAATTCTGGGAAAACTGGGTGATCTGAAAGTTCTAGAACAGCTAGGTTTCTGGGTGGTCGCAATGGGCAACATACTTAGCAATAAAGAAAACTGCTTACTTAAAAAAACCCACAAAGTAGTTTGAGACATTAAAAAAGAGGAATGCACAATTTTTTAATGAGAGGATGAGATTTATTTTGGTCAATAAATCAATCACATATTCTGTATTTCTGAAACTATCTAAATAATAACAAATAGTAATCAAACATCCTGTTAACAAAGGATATCAGTTAAAAACAGCAATGCTATGGTTTGGAGGTAGTTAACCCTCAGGAAACTCAGTCCCTAGTGTGGCAATGTTGAGGTGGTGGACGCTTAAGAGGTGGGAGCTAGTGCTAGTGCTAGATCACTGCTCTCTGGCTTCCTGTCAATAGATATGTACTCTCCCTCCCACATGGGCTCTCCCCGTTGGACACAATCTGCCCTAAGACACTCACCAGGGGTGGAATTAATGCCACTTTCCCCCACCCAGCTGTAGACATTAGCTCCAAAACTGTGATCTAAATAAACCCTCTTTCTTTATAAAGATAGCCTTCCTCAGATATTTTGTTATAGTAACAGAAAACACACTAATGTAAGTAGAATTCTAAATGTAATAATGATATAAAAGTGCAATTTTGATTCCTAAAGTTGAACTAGAAGAAAAAATTATTAGAACTATGTAACACTTTATTCTCTTGCTAGAATGTAAGGGTTATTAGCAGCATTTAAGGTATTTGACTCACTATATTATTCATTTAAAAGTACATTTGGAAACAAAACGTAAACAAATGTAAGCTTATTAGCAATTCAAAAAAGGTGTCAGAACAAAAAACACTGAAGACTTTCTGGAAAATAAAGCAACATGGTTGCCAGATATAAGGTGAATACATATCCATCTGTTGTAGTTTCATAAAAAAATGAACTTTAAATTTTGAAAAGACACTACTTAGTATAATGGCAACAAAAACTGTAAGATATCTGATCAGTTAAGCCTAGAAAAGATCAATAAAACTTTATTAGAAGAAATACATAAAATGCATTAAATGACATCAAAGAAGGTATAAATAAATGAAGAGCCAAGAGATGGTCATAGATAGGAAGATTTAAATTTATAAAATGTTCATTTTCCCCAGGATAATCTATAAATTCAGTAATGGAAGATTTTTGGCAAAATTCATATGAATAAAAGAAGAGGAAAGATTACTCAAAACAATGTTTTAGAAGAACAGGGGCACGGGAGGCTAGAGAAATGATGGCCCAAGGAGAAATATCCTCTGTGACACTTAACTGTTGTATCAACTTGAGTAAGAAACTCCCCTATTGGTTGGATTAGCGTGGTTCTGAGTGTGGCTGAGTGGATTTACCAAAAACGGAAGGCCCACCCTGGGTGTCAGTGGCTCCAACAAATAGGCTCATGGCCCGGATGGAATAAAAGGGAAAGCAAAAGGAAGGCAACTTCTTTCTGTCTGCCACGCCATGGGCTGTTTCTCCTGTGCCAGGCCCCTCTGGTGCACTGTCCTGCCTTGGAGCCAGCTGACTGTGGACTAAAACCTGTATAAACTGTGAGCCAAAATAAAACCTGTCCTTTTTTAACTTACAGGTGTCGAGGATTTTGTCTCAGCAATAGTCTATCCTTTACACAACATGGTGGCTAGTTAATGATAGTGTATTCAATTCTGCAATTTGTTAAGAGCAGATTTTAAGTGTTTCAATAAAAAAAAAGTATGTGAGGTAATGTGTATGTCAATTAGCTTGATTAAACTACTAAATAATGTATACATGTTCCAAAACATCATGCAGCAACGATAAATATATAGTTTTATTTGTCAATTAAAAACGCATAAATACAACATAAAAGGAATAAGGCAGGAAACATGCCTTTTCAAATAATAAGACTTACAGAACCAAAAATAATCCACCTGAAGAATCCACAAAAATTCCCATGCAAATATGGAAGTTTTATAAATGACAGAACTGGACTGCACATAAGCCATCACACTAAAATACAAATTTATATTTTAGGAATTCTTTTTAAAGATAATCTATCAAAATTTATATATTTCTATTGTTTGATTGTGTACCAATAATTCATAGAAGTATAAATTTGATCCAGAAGAAAATTTTAATATGGAAAGGCTTATGAAAACAGGGAATTAAAAATTTTATTCATTAACATTTTTTGCAGTAAAATGACAGGATAATCAATGGAAGATAACATTCTAAGACTATATGGAATAGAAATAAGAACTAACAGAGAAAAGAAATTTCTGAGAAGGGAAAAAGTTTACCCATGAACTTTCTTTTAATGATTATGTGGTACTGAGATTCTACTGAATATATTTAAAAGTTTCCTTTTTTAAAAAAAGGAAAGGGCTGGGGGGTGGTGTTGTCGCCTGCCTTGCAAGCGCAAGGTCCTGAGTTTGATCCCCGGTACCAAAAAAAAAGAAAAATAATTATAATCTTGAAATAAAACCAAAACACCAACCAAAAGAAAGCTAGCATAGCCGTAACTTCCAGCTAAGTTGAAAAGGCAAGAAACTTTTTAGAGATAAAGAGATTCGATATCTTATAAAGCTATAATAATTAAAAAATTGTTTGCCACATCTACTCTGATTTAAAAAACAGAAATTAACAAGAGTAACTGACAATAAAAGATATTGAAAATGAGTAAAGAAATAGAAAATTTGAAAACATAATAGCCTGAATCTAACTGACATATGGAAAATACTGTACTTTACACCTGCAGAATATACATGCTTTTCAACAGATGAACGATATTTAATTGGTTATAAGATGGTTATATAGTCAAATAATTAATATCATATCATACAGAGTAAGTATCTAACTTCAGTAAAATCACACTAATTGTAAATATCCCAAAGAGAAAAGTACAATTAGAAATTGTTCAGAAATTAAACAAAAGATCAAAACATGGATCAAAAAGATAACTACATGGAAATACTGTACACTAAGTAATGATTAAAATATGGCCCATAAATTTATAAGTGCCATTAGCTTGTAAAAATTTATTGTGATACATTTTAAAAATAAAATTAAAGATCTAAACAAATCCATGCTAATTTTTGATAAACTGAGTATCTTGATAAAACAAAAATTTTTCTAGGAAGATACACATTAACAAAAATTAAAGAAAAGGACAAAATTTGGACAGGATAATTCAAATGATAGAAGGATAACCCTTCTATCATTAATTAAAAAGTTGGAAATGTCTCTTCTTCTAAAAACAAAATCTAGGCTGAGATTATGTGATACATGAACAGTTTTAAATCTCAAAAAAACAGATAAAGCTTCTATTATGTAAATTTTTCCAGAAAAATGAAAGTGATGAGAAAATTCAAGATATATAATGATCCAATAATTGTAGAGATTTATTTCTTGCTCAGTTTATTTCTTTCTGTTTTCATCAGTATTCAAAATTAAAATTTTTAATTGTAATTCAAAAATTTAAAAAATTTTAAAGACAAAAATGTAATTAATTTCAAATGTCTATCTAGAAAATCCAAGAAAAATAACTGAAGAACAACTGAACAAGAGAGTCAGGTAAGACGGGATCATACAAAATAAGCATGCTTAAAAATCGTTATCTTTCCTAATCAATTAAAAATGTAATGATAAAAATAAATATCTCATTTTATCATAAACTGTGGTATACTTAGTGATTAATCTAACAAAAATATTAAAAGTGTATATGAAGTAAGTTATAATTTTCTCTCTCCAAAACATAAGGAAAGTTTTAAATGGAGAAATGTCACATTCAGTTCTTTCCAAACCATTCTCTAAATGCAATTTTAACTAAAAAAGTCTCATGGATTATTATTATCATATCAAAATAATTCTAAAGATCATTATATATATATATTTTTTTTTTTAATTTTTTTTTTTTTTTGGTATCGAGGATTGAACTTGGGTCCTTGAGTTTGTGAGGCAGGTGGCTGAATGACTGAGCTAAGTCCCTGGCCCCGATCATCTACAATATTAAAACCAAGAAGTTAAGAAAAAAATGAAGGTTTTAACATGCTAGATAAACATAAATCTAGTACTGGAAAGCTATAGCAATTCAAATAATAATGCTAACCCTAACCCTAAATAGATCCATGGAGCACAGTGGTGGTTCTAGAAACATCTGTGTATAGATGTACAGTATAAGATAAAATTTGCATTTCAAGTCAAAGGAAAGAAAGTTAGTTAAATGACAGCACAAGGAGGACAAGTGGTCATACATGCACAAACAAGAATAAATTTGAGCTAATTAGATATATGTCATATATAATATAAATTAGGAAGGTCTTCCTTAAAAAATAGTAGTACCAAAAATCCATAGAGGATGGAAAGATCTGACAATACACATACCAAAGTTCTGTAGAAGAAATGATTTATGAAGTTAGTAAACTTCAAAATCCTACTCTACATAAAATATAAAAACAATTTACGTCATTAAAAATTTTAGAAGCAAGGGATTATGGCTCATAACTGGAAAGAAATAGGATGCAGGTCACCGCAGTCCTGGTAATATAGCTCTTTCATATTATCTTTCATGAGAATGGTTCAGATTATAATATTTCATAGGCTATATTCTTACTAGTACTTTTCTGTGTGTACACTACAGTGAGTTAAAACATATTAGAGTGGACACACACAAAGCACTTTTCTGCCTAGCTAACTAACCATAGTCTGTATTCTTCCATATAGCAAACTGCTAATATTGGTGATTTTAGGGTAGGGAGTACAACAAGGGGCTAAGAAGAGTGGAGGCTGAAAATAATTAAAATGAGCTCTTACTTTTGTGTTTAACTGTACTTTATATATTTAACCATGGAATATGTGGTATTTGTATTTTTTTTTAAAGCAGTAAAAAATGAAAAGAAGTCTATATATATGACCCCTACCATTCAAGACTTGTGACTTACGTACGATTAAGACAATGCAATAGGGCATACTCTACCTGTGAATCTAATATATTGGAAATTTCTTGTGCACCAACATTTACTTCATCCAACTGCAAGCAAAACAAATTTCTGGCAACCTCGACAAAATCTAAAATGAACATATTTCAGTAAGAACACAACATTTAATCTCATCTCAATAAATTCTTTTTCTACATGATGTTGAAGCTATGTATTATTGACATTTCAAATTTAACTTAAATGAATTGTCTTAAAATAATACTGACTCAAGTGACAGGCAAATCTAGGCTCAAATAAGAAGAGATAAATTGGGTTTATCTTCAGTTAACTTTGATAGCGTTAGTAATTCAGTTAAGATAATAAGGCAAACACGTATCATAGATATTTAATTCTCCAACTTTTGTACTAGAAGTAGAACTTTTTCTGAAACAGGACAATATTATGTCTTGTGGCTCTTCTGGCTGAAAGAACATGAGGTTTACTAGTAATAGCAGCAGCTAATGTTTACGTAGGAGCCACTGCATGGCAGGCATGGTGCTTAGCAATTTCAGCCTAACAGCAATCTTCCAAGTGAGGTCCCTTTTTCTGTTTTACAGATGAATGCAAAACTGTGTTAGGCTGGCCAAAGCCACTTGGTAAATAAGCAGCAGAGCAGTCCTTGAGATTCTTCAGATATCATGATGACCTATTCCTCTTTGTATCCTCAAGTTTTTTTAATTTTGGCTATTATATTTTTAATTTCCAAGGATCCTTTCAAATTTTCTCTGATTGTTCTATTTTACAACATCCTGCTGTTATTTCATGAATGCATTCATTATCTTGATTTATCTTTTTAAAGATGTTAACTATAGGTTTTCTGAAGTTCTCTTCGCTTCTTTATCACTGAGGTCTTTCACAGGCCCTATAATTTATGTTGGAGGATTTCCCCAAGTGTCTGGTAACCCCTGGCTATGAGTTTATACTTAAGATTCAGGCACTGAAAAAGCTAGTTGGAAATTCTGTGCGCATAACTTGCCTTATGAAATGGCAGGTTAAATAATAGGGCAGTCAGGCAGGCCAGCTGACATTTTGTTCTTTAGAGAGAATCCTACACCCTCCTGCCTGTGATCATAGATATGGCTGCAGATTCTACTGAGCAATATGGGTGTGTGTGATGACTAATGACTCACTGTACACTTCCCCAAACTGTCTCGCTGCTAGCAACTGTACATCCATAATCATTCTGGTTTAATTTCTAAGGAAAGAGACTTCTCTTCCCCCAGGAGGTGTAAGGGTGTGGTAGGTGCTGGACTGCTTTAGAAGGGGCAGGGAACAACAGCATGTATAATTCTCCTAAGAAACACTGCTAAAAATTGTTCACATCATATGCCCTGCCTAAGCCCAGACTTTAGAAATACCCGATGCTTTCAATTCCCAAGGGTCAAACCAGCTTGTTCCCTACAGTAATTTTCCTAAGTCATTAGACACTTGGGCTTTACTTGCCTCTGCTTACTAACTCATTCACTGTATTTTCCTCATCTACTTTCTGCCTTTAAATATTGTGTTTTGATTATGCAGGTATTCTGTTTCTTGCTCTTACCATTTTGGCAAGATTTTCAAGAGGGGATAGGACCAAAAATACTCTTTTTCCACCCACTACAAAACTAAAAGGTGAATTTTTAAAAAATATTACAGATGTTATAAAAATGATACATCTACTACATAAGAGAAAATGCAATACTTAATGCTGTCAAGGATAGAAAAAATTGTTCCACTCAAATATTATTTGAGGCAGAACAAACAGATGTGTAAAATATCTCTGCAAAAGGATTTATCAGTATGTACCAGAACTCCATTATGGGGATTTATCCTAAGAAAAGGAATGAAACAGCCTCATTAAAAAATATATAGATTTATAAATTAATAAATATGATAATGATAAACTATCAAAATTGCTGTCAAAAGGCTAAACATTAGTTTAAGTGGCACAGTATGCTATCTCTAAGAAAAATTATATAGCACTACATTAATCTTTATATTAGCTGGAAAAAGGAACTAGAAGTAATCTCACTGCAGTGAGAGGACTTCTGTGTTTTATACTTTTTATTACTAAAGCAATGTTTATGCAATAAATAAATAACAAAGAATATGCTACAACAATGATGCTTTAGAGCTGAAAGGTTCTACTGAAGTTGTCCTTTCTGCTGACCCAGCCAGCCTAGTACCTCCAGCTGAGCTTTCAGAGTGCTAATTAGGAACTTGAAGTATATGTGGTTTAACTTTTCGTTTTTCCTTCTAAAAAACAGGCACTCTTAAAGAAAATGGGTCACAATAAATCTCCCACCAAGTTTCTGTGACAACTCAACCTGATCAACCTGATATTACCTCCAAAACATACTGTCCCCTTTGAGTCTGCTTGTACTTGCTGTCTCAGGGCTTGGTGCTGGTCCTCTGTGGGCTGAATACCAAGGTATTTTAGAGCCTGGAAGGAAAAGGACTCATGAGAATCAAGTTTTTTTAAAAAATAGCCAAATAATAAAACTTTTTGTAACCCAATGGAAAAAAAAAAATCAGCATTTAGGAATAGTAACCAGAATCAGATGACCAAGGAGAATCCTCTGACTGCTTATGGATTACGTGACTCTTAAGAGACTAGCTTTATGACTGCACCATCACCTCAATCTTTTTTTCAAGGACACTACTTTGGCTAGTTCATAGTTCTAGAACCAAAAGTCAAACTGTTTCTTAGTTTACATGATTTGGCAGAAGAAAAAAATAGTCCTAATAAGGTCAGACTTATGAGTGACACTTAAAAACATGAATAGTTCTTGGTTATTACTCTACCTTTGAAAGCAAAACTGAAATTAACAGGAACTGATTTAAATAAAAAATATTCTAATTTTTGGCTTATTTGAGGGTAAGCTTACACAAATAGTAAAGGAAAAAGCTTTTTCAAGTCCCCACTTCTCTTTGGCAGGCTCTCCTGTTACGGGTAAAGTACCCATTCATGAATAAAAATTCTGAGACTGCTTGCTGTGTTCCACTGTTCACCTCCTCCTTGTTACAGAACCAACAAGTTTTCAGATAGAAATACTGCCATTCCAGGAAGCCTATTTTCAAAAGTAGGGGTAGGCACTCCTATTATTCCCTTTTCTTTCCATCTTTTGGCTTAATAAAGGGGGAGAAGGAGTTAGAGAAGAGGAGGAGAGAGAGAAAGAAAAATAAATATTGCTGGACTCTGAGCTGGTATTTTGACTCATGACGTACCTCAATAAAGATGGCAGAACAGAGACTATCTTTCTGCTCCACAGACTGGAACGTGGGTCCTCAACTTTTGTCTCAATGCTAGCCCTGGATTGCTTTTTTTCAGGCTTCTTTTTGTGTAAGAAATAAACTTCTAATGGAAACAAGTATGATTTGGGTTCTCTAGCTAAAGATAGCAAAACTTAATGCATAGGGACTGACTGGATACCCTATTATTGGATTCTGACAAGAACATACACAGTATCAATCAATCACAGTAGAACTTAGAGGTAGGCAAAGTTTGTTATTAGCAATTATTCCCTATAATTTTCTTCCCCATTGGGAATATGTCTAGTCATTCATCATTTCATTCATCAAATATTTATTTGGTACTCCCTATTGGTCAGGCACAAATCTATGTACAAGGGAGAGACAAATGACATATAGTTCCTACACTCAAAGAGAGTTTATGGTATGTAGTGGGAGAATAACATTAAACAATTATGGTAATTAAATATGTAATTTAATCCAAGTATGTACAGGATATAGTATGGCAAAAAAACCCCAAAACAAATGTTTAATGTAAAGGCATACAATTTGGGCATAGTGAAAGAAAGAGACAGGAGAATGAGCATATCAGGAAACATTCTTTCTGGCTTCTCAAGCTTAGCATCATCTCCCTGCTCTGTCAAAGTCAAGAGTATTTACCTTGTATAACGTGGAATAATGATTTTTTAGCTTCTCTGTGCTTTTTCCCCTTATAAAAATGGCCCAAATATAAAAAAAACAGAAGAATACAAAGAATATCCATTTATTTACTATTATTATAGGCAGTTGAGTTAGACAGAAAAAAATATACAGAGAGGGACTGGAGTCTCAAGGAAGTCAGCAGAAAATAAAAACAACAGAATTGTGGCTGGAGGTGCATCTGAAGAAGGACAGGCCTTAAGATAAAGATGCAATGGCCAGACCTACATGCTTCTCCTAAGGGATAAACAATAATGTGAGATTATACTGTAATAAGTCTGACATGGTCCAGAAAGTCCAGTTAGTCATCAGTTGCCCAGGTGGGGGACCAGAGCATCTGGACCCATCCCTTCCCAAAAATGCCTGTGCTTTCTATGTTCCCTTGCTACATGCCTTGTTTCTCTATTGGATCAATGTTAGCTAAGTGGCTATACTTGTAATCCTATAAGTTGATTGTAATTTGACCCACGTTGTACCCACGTTGTACCCACATTATGACTTTGCTGTATAAATTACCCCTGACAAAGGGCCTCAGTGGCAACTCACTTACCCCTCCTGTCTCTCAGGAGCTATCTCTCAATAAAGCTTTCCAACCCTTAACCTCCATTGTTCCTTGGAAATCATTTTTAGATATTTGGAGGACACAGAATTGGCACATTTGATGTCTAGCAGGTTGGGAGGTATACTTCTCCTATATCACTATCATCAAATAAACACTGATATTTGCTTGAAATTTATAAATATTTACAAAACAATAAAACTACAAATTTAGTTGAAAGCTTTCTCTGTTGTTCTTTAGCAACAAACACTATCCTCAGGATGATGTATCCTTCCTGTCTGTAATGTGATGTTATTTATTTTATAAGTATGTATATGCTCAATAATATGCAATCTAATCCTGTGCATTTAAAATTTTACATGAACAGTATAATCTAAAGGGATAACTCTCTTTTACTTCAACTTAGTGATTTTACAACTGCTCAATATTATCTGCAAAACTAGTTCACTTATTTTAACTATCAATGACATCTGATTATATGCATTTAACCTGTTCACTATTTTGTGATTGATGGACTTTTATAATTACTCCAATCAATTTTTTAAATTACAAAACATTATACATGTCTTCTTCTACAGCTATAGGAAGATTTCTTGATTTCTCTATAGTACAGTATATCCTTCAAAAAGGAAGGGTTGAGTTACAGGTGATACACACGGTAAACTTATTAGACATTTTGGATTTTTCTCTAAACTGATTGTACCAATCTATGCATGCCAGTAGTACACAAACATTCCTATTTTTCTACATTCTTAACAGAATTTGTTTTTTTATACATTCATTTTTTATCAAATGGTGAATGTGGACTAGTATGTGAACTAGAATTCCCTGAATTACAAGTGAGATTAAACATCTTTTATATTTATTAGCAATGCTTTTGACTCATGAGTCATTTAGAAATGTTTTAAATTTTCATATATAGAGTTTTAAAGATGTATCTTTTATTACTGATAAAAATTTGGAGGCAGTGTTCCAACATTGACAAGCAGAATTGTTTCTTTTTTTTGATACCGGGGATCGAACTCGGGACCTTGTGCTTGCAAGGCAGACGACAGAACCACTGAGCTAAATCCCTGGCTCAATTGTTTCTTGATATTGCCAAGTGTCCCAAGGAAAAGAACACCTCTCTAGTCCTTAAGGACCACTACTCCAGAGATAAACACTATTAGCAACTTGGTATGCAATATTCCAGATTTTTCTACAAATACGTCTTTATATAAATTTATGCCTTTATGTAAAGCTATATGTTATATTAATTTTTGCACATATTAAGTTTCCCTATAGTTCTCTGTTTAAAAATTATCAATATATCCCAGCTTTATATCCTGTAAAATTTTAGATCTATTCTATGCTTTAAAATATCAATATATCCTAGCTTTCTCTCTATTCTGTATACTTTTTAATCTACTATATGCTTTTAAAACTTATTGTAATAAGTCAGACATTGGTGGTTAGGGAGACTGAAGAAAGAGGATTTCAAGTTGAGGCCCGAACAATTTAGCAAAACCCTGTTTTAAAATAAAGATTTTTATTTAAAAAAAAGAAAGGGACTGGGGACATAGCTCAGTGGCAGAGTGCTTGCCTAGCATTCATGAGACCCTGTGTTCAATCTCCAGTACTGACCCTCCCAAAAGAGTTATAATATTATATTGTTTGAACTAAATTTTTCAAAAGTTTCATGGTCATTTAATTTATATACATTCTTATTTCTGAAGATACAGGGGCATAGAGAAAAATCCGAACAATTAAGCTTTTCTGACTTTCTCAGTTTATCACTATTAGATCATATCCTCTTTGTTCAATTATACTCCTCCAGGACTGTCTACTCTTCATCCCAAACCTAAGCATAACAATACACAGATTGTTCTCTTTCTTTGAGTCTTTGTTTCTAAAGGATCTTGTGCCAGGTAAAATTTGTATCAAATAAGTTTGTGCTTTTCTCTTGGTGATTTATCTTTTGTTAAAGGTACTTATGCCATGAACCTAGTGATGAGTGAGAAATTTTTCCTCTCCTATAAGGAAAAACAGGCGCTTAAGTGCAAGGCACTATGGGGAAGAAGTAGATAATCTCATTGGTAAAACAAGATATAAGAAAGATCATAAGGCAGTACGAAGTTAATGGTTAGTATGAAAAAAATGGCAACATTTTACTTTGCAATCTTTTATAGTTAGCAAAGTCTGGACAAAAGACATAGAATTGAATCAGCATTTAAACAATAGATAAGATTCAAATTTGCAGTGAGAAAGATAGTATCATAGAACCAAGCAAAGCGAGAGATATGGAATAAGTGCAATGTGTGTTTATGAAATTTTATATTCTTTTTAAAATGTGAAAAAATGTTATTCATAAAAGCTTACAGGAAGGTAGAGGCTGTGGATCTCTAGCAATATATCCATCTTACATTAAAAAATACTGATGAGAAGTTTTAAAGCATTTTGTCACCTTTGTCTTTTAAAATCACTCTAAGTTTCCTTTATATATACAAAATCTCAACCTTTTACTACCCCCAGGACTATTTTTTGGTGCTGAGTCCACTGCTCCAATATTCTTAATTTGGGGTGTGTGTGTGTGTGTGTGTGTGTGTGTGTGTGTGTGTGTGTGTGTGTGAGACAAGGTCTTCAGTTGTAGTTCAGGCTGCCCTCAAACTCACTATGTAGCCCAGGCTGGACTCAAACTTGTGGGGATCCTCCTGCCTCTGCTTCCCAAGTGCTGGGATTATAAGCATGCACCACCCTTTTTACATTTAGTGGGCACCTGACTATTTTATCCTTTAGGATTCAGTGATCCTACGCTTTTTAAAAAATTGAGCAAATGAATCAAGTATTACTTCATTGCACTTATTGCTATTATACACGAAGCCTAATGTATTTTGTTCTAATTTATTCAATGTTTCCACTGATTCTAGATTGTAAAATATCATATATTCTTTATTGCCAAAGAGAAAGAAACTGATTAATTTGCATGTCAATTTAGTTACAAAAGGTTTTACTTCCATTTAGAACTACTGAACCCTAGGAGCTGCCAAATTGAAACAGTAATTAAATAATTTAAACCCTAACTGCCATTCACTTAATTGTAAATAAGTAGCTTCAGGAAACTAATGACAGTACTTGCTATTGCCTTACAAAGAAAAATGAAAATTTAAGGGATTTACCATTTCCAGTTTCTCTGCCTTAAGGCGAACAGAAGGATTTAGGGAAATCTTTCCTTGTGGTCCATAATTATCAGTCCAAGCAGGAGCAATATCTAAGAGACAACAGGGTGCACATTAATTGGAGGCTTAATTGGAATAGAACTTTTCATTTGACAGGATGTGTTCTGGACTCCCGCTGTTCAAAAGTAATTCTGGTTAATCAGTTGGGAGTTTTCACTTTTGTTTTCATGGGTTTTTTTTCCTGTAGGTTTAATATGTACCACATAAATCAGCTTTACTTGAGCCCTAAGATATAATATAAAAAGAATATCCAATTATGCACTGTGAAGTCTTATAGAAATAATAACTTAAAAGACAAACATATATCCCACCATTATGACCATCATCACAACAACTTACTCCTTTTAAGAAAAAAGTCTTTTTTATTCAAAAAAAGTAAAATCATATCAAAGATTCAAAAAGATCGTGGTATTTCCTTGACTAGTAAAAGTGGTTTTGTTATATGAATTCTGGAAGTGCCCTGGAAAAAACCCATGAATAAAAATCACCTTAAGTTTGTAGATAAAGTATGATATAGACACAGGACTTTTTGAGCTAAAAATCCTGTCTTGGGGTTATACCTCAGGTAACATACACAGACTTGGAGAAGAAGAGAATAATAAACCTCTTGCCTATTTTCCTATACTTCTTCAATATGCCCTGATTATGTAAATACAGCCTTTGTCCTTGTTGGAGGAATAAGAAATCAGGTGCCAGAAGAGGCTAGAACTTGACAAAAAACTATTTGTTTCAATATGCCAGAGTTTGTGAAACAAATTTCTATAATTTATGTCAATCCTCACCATCTAAATAGTCATTATTTTAAATACACTTTTAAATGGTATTTTACTAGTTCCACATAGAAACAAGAGGAAGAGAAAAAACTTTTTAAAATGTCACATCTTTATGCAGTGTTTTAATTTTTTTATTTCTCAGAGCATCTGTCTCTAAGTACAAAATGATTTGCATTCTCTTTCTTAAGAACATAAGAAGCGCATATGAAAATAAATAGTCTTCCTCTAAACCTTTAACACATCCTCAACATTCTATGTAAAATCTTTAATATAGCTTATAGGTGTCAAGATTATGAAAAAAATGGTTACTGACTTTTAGCTCCAAATGGAATTAAACCTTGAGAAAGATTGGTTTCCGTGCAACAGAATCTTTATAATTCTGATAAAAGCAAGAAAGTCTCCTCTGTTATCATGACATCTGATTGTTGGCCTGGATAAAAAAAAAATATTTTTTCTCTTAAAACCAATTCTATAGCAAACCTAAATTTGGCAGAAAAGATTACTGAAATGGTATGGAAGACTAAACCACATATAAGTCAAATTTACGTTTTATCTTGTGAGACTTGGCTTTCGGGGTTGCAGTTTGCCCTGCAATTAATGGACGGTAATACTAGGGGGATACCCTAGTTAAGACTAGTTAAGATGCAGACCAACGAGCTTGAATTGCTCAACTTACCCATGAGTGGAAGAGATACAGAGTAGACTGGAGCAAGAGGCAAAGAGGAGAAAGACAGGGAGAGACAAGGACACATGGAGACAACATTACTCATATTTTCCTATATTTGGGCACAAAAATTTGCTATTTCTAACAGTGGAAATAACAAAAATTTAGCTCCTATGTGTGTTTCTTTCTAGCCATGCAATGAACTAATTACTGTACATATATAAGCTCATTAATCTTCACAATCACCACACTGACATAGGCGTTACTATTCTCATTCCAAAAGCCAAGGCCCATAAAGGTTCAGAAGCTGACCCAGCACCACACAGCTAGTACATGGATAGTGTAAGTAGTCTAATCCTTTATGCCTTGACAAACCAATGTTCTTATGTGTCAACATCTTTCGTTGTCGTTTTCTTATCGCTAAAGTGAGAAGAATAAAACTGACCACCCATAGCAGCTGTCAAGGTAAAATCAATAAAATCAAAGAAAAAGACTATAAAAATATAAGGTATTGTTAATATTCACAGACACTGTGTTAATAGGTGATTTAATATAAAACTATATTAACCTCCCATTTAACAGGATGTATCATGGCTTAACAAAATCTTGTGTTGTTTTTTAAATCTTTTCTGCCTACTTTCATTGAACTCTTTACTTCTGAATTTGGACCTTAAGAGGGTCCTGCATGGAACCATTAAGCCTTGGAGCTGAGAGGGGCTTAGCCTGAGAAGCCCCTCACAGATAGTTTTCATCTGCCAGTGGCGACTCTCTCTGTCCATCTCCAGCTCTTCAAAGTACAGCTCATTATTCTCTTAGATTTTCTGTTCCTAGTCCTCTTTAGGAACAGAAGGGAAAGTTTATAAGGGAAGGATCAATACCATTTGTTTAATTCCATGAGCCCTTGAAGGATATTTTTCCTCATCAGTATTTTGTTTCAAAAGACCTGATGCCGAAGAATTCAGGCTTGTGCTACTGTTAAGGTAATGACCGAATTTCTTCTTCCCTTGGGAATGCCCTCAGCATACTTTTAGCTCACAAACTCTTTCGTTATTCAACTTAGGGCAATAGTAAACAATTCTAACTTAGATACTAGGATAGTTTTTAAAATATCTAGGTAATATGCTTATTTTAAAAATTCGACCAATTTTATCCTTTGGAATGATTTTGAGATGCGAAGAGAGGTAGAGAGAATACTTCCTGAATTTTTGTTGAGGTTAATATTAAAACTTGTTCATATTTTTGTATACATACCAACTGACTAAAAGAGTCTAGGAATAATGGTGGAGGATCTAATTTGGGAACAATCTATAATTATAGAAATTATAACAGAAAAATCATAATGTGTATAAGTTACTTACAGACAATTTAGGGTTGAGTTTGTTTCTCCCCGACCCTCTGCCTCCCCGGAAATACCTCAACCACTATATTTATGTAGAAGGAAGACATGGGGACTGATTTAATGCTATTTCTGCCCTAGAAAACTGTTCCATTTTAATTGCATTTCAATGTACTTTTTATACAACTTACACATTCACATATATTTTTCATTAGCTATTTTTCCTGTTACAAAATCTAGTCTCATTTCTTATAGTGACAGGTGTAAAACCCCTTCATCTTATTCATCTGACAAGATCTCTTTTCTCTAACCAGACCTGCCTTTTAGGGTCACCTGCCACCTGCCTTATCATCCTAGTTCTGTTTCCGCTCGTGGCGCTTCCTCTGTCTGCATGGCACTTCCTTAAAGATTTGGCACGTCTGACTTTTGCCAAGAGATTTATTTGTTTTGTACTGGGGATTGAACCCCGAGCCTTCACGCTGAGCTACCTCCCCAGCCTTTTTTATTATTTTTTATTTTGAGCCAGGGTCTCATTAAATCACCATACTGCCTAGGCTGGGCTTGAACATGCAATCCTCTTTCCTCAGGTACCCAGAGTGCTGAGACTACAGGCGTGTGCCACCATGCCCAGCTGCCAAGAGGTTTTTCTAAACTGTTTTCTGTATATTGTGACAAATCCCTTACTATGTGCTGATTTGGGGGATGAAGAGAGGATGCGACATTCAATCAAGCGTTAAAAGCTTTCACTTCTACTCTAGAAATATGCCCTAAAGTAGGCTTTATAACATTAATAGTAACAGCAGAATTTGCAGAGCACATACTGTCTACCAATTACAACGCTAAGTACTTGACATGCCCAATCTTGTTTGACCCTTTTGACAACCTCAGGAGGCAGGTACTTAAGGGTTAAAGAATAGTAAGTGGGGAACAAGCATTTGAATGTCTAAGTTTGCATTCTGAACCTGTGGTGGCCACTGCACCCTCCCTCCACCATCACTAGACTACTATTTCTTCCCTTAGTCCATTCTGTTAATATCTAAATTATTCATGAAAAGGTGTTATAAAATCCATCCATCCATCCATATACATAAATGAATATGTAAGGTTTTTTAATTTGAATAATGAAACATTTTAACTCTGTGATTGATTTCATAATATGCTATTAAGTACCTGATAGAAAAATCCTAATTTCTTTATAATTCCTAAGTCTTCTATACACATGACATATTTAACAAACATTTACTGAATAAATAAATGGCTAAAAGAGGCACTGAATAGTTTAATTACTTTAAAAACTAAAAAGATTACATAATGTTATACAACTAATGTTTTATGATAAAATCAAGGAATAAAGGGCCGTGGCTTCTAGCAACTTTGATGCTACATCTCTTCAAACTGTTGGCTTCAATTGCCTTTTCCCACATGGGTTCCCAGTTTAAAGTAAAACAGTATTATCAAGAAACTGAGTATTAAAGACTAACAGTTTCTAAGAGGCAACAAATCTCACTAGATTAAAAGGCATATCATTTTGGTTAAAAAGGGCTACTGACCCATTGGTAAATACTGCGCTAAATCAGAGGAAACAACTGTGGAATCTAGCATAAATTTCTATAAAGTCTGGTAGATTTTTTGGGGGAAGTAGGGCTTCTGGAGACTGAATCTGGGGCCTGAAGCATATACTCTACTGCTGGGATATACCTCCAGCCCATGTCTGGCAACTATTCAGTTTAAAGTAACTCTCTTTATTTTGAAATTATCATCTAGAGAATGCTATTAAAAATTAAAATACATGGGTAGTAACTTGCACTATAATTATAATTTAGCAATATATAATTAGCTTTTTATTTATGTTAAATAGTTTTCTAACTGTTATTTTGTTAAACTTATGGTAAATAATTTCAGGGAAGGGATGTTTTTCCTTGATATTTGACCCAATAAGCATTTTATATCTTGCTAATAATCCTTTTTTATGGGTAGATTAGACATTTTTTGCTTTATTGCTTTAAAAAGTCAGTAAATCATTTCAGAATGAATAAAAACCAATAATATTGAATCCACAATATTGATGCCTTTTCTAATTTACATCCATATGATTTCTTCCAAAATAAATAAACAAAAAAATTCTTTCCTTAAGCTGCACAGCCTTCTATAATATGTTTTTTAAAAGGTACAGTTAATAAGCCCCATTAGTATGTCATTAACAGGTCAAGGCAACCTAATCTAGATTTACAGGAGTTTTCATTATTTGGTCTCAACAGTTCATTAAGTAAGACAGCTTCAGAGACACTTAACGATAATGTACCCTTTAAAATTTCAACCTTTTGTTCAAGGAAATTTCCAATAAATGTTATAATCTAACAGGGACCACTGAGTAATACATTCATTTTCTCTTTTATTCATGGAAGGAAAAAAGGCATATGCAACTATTATGTTCTTTCATTGAGAGAGAGTAACTGAAAAAATAACAGAAAAGAGGAATTAAATATGTTTTTACCTGAATTAGCCATATCTGTAGAGCTGTTGTCTGAAGAAGTAATTGGAATATATTCTGCTTTCTCATATCCAGTTTTTATCTGTGAAAGAAAGTGAGGAACATGCAATGTCATTTTCTAAAGTAGGTCAAAGACCAGACTAGATATTCACACTAACATAAAAAGCATGGTCAAAGAGATTAAAGCAATATCCCAGAAATGTAAAACCTCTAAAGTTTTGGTATATTCATCTTCAAATAAAGCATTTCAAATTAAAGATAAGAACCACTTTCAGCTCTACTGTGTCCAAGGATAACAAAACATAAGGCCATGTACTTTGTCTTTTTAAAGACATTATAAAACCAAATGACACAGTATAAGGGGCCGACAGAAAATCTTACACCTTGTCCCTGATCAGCATGTATCTAAAAGCAAAGTTACTCTTAAAGAATTTATTCCATTGCCTGAAAGCCTACTTGAGTTTCCTCTGTTATCTTATAGTTAATGCAGACTTAAAGAATATATATACTCTAGGGCCGGGGTTTTAGTTCAGTGGTTCCTCTGCCTGTCTCACAAGCACAAGGTCCCAGTTTTGATCCCCGGTACCAAAAAAAACAAAAAACAAAAACCAAAGAATATATACTCTATTTTATAACTCTTATTTTTTAGGATAATATAGCTTTAGTAATTGGTTGTATTATTTTGATATTAGAAATCCTCCACCTTGCATGATTTCAATAGGGCTGTTTTCTAGTGTACACACATGAAAGCAATACTGTACCCACCTAGATTGGATGATTAGAATTAGCTTCACTGTGTAGCAAAGAAGCTAAGAGAAAAAAAAAAAACTAGTTACCTAGCATCTGTCCAGGAGAAAATAAAAATGATAATTAGAGACTACCTAAAACTGAATATTACATTGTTAACATAGTTCTGAGTGATGTCAAGTTGTATCCTTGTGGTAGCACTTTGTCATGCTGACACTGTCTGACTGATTGTGCTTCTTGACATAGGACACTTTGATTTGAAAAATTATGTTTATTGGCAAGTCTAAACCAGAAAAAAAGAAATCTTTCAAGGAAATATTAATCTGTTAACAAAAGTGTTCCCGAAATTACAATTCTGTATCTATTTCACCAACAGGAAAAGCATAAGGGATGTATGCAGAGAAATTTAAGACTACCTGACTCATCTTAGAGGAAGGTAGGATGGCATCTTGAGTTTTGGGAGTAGATGAGGTCTGTGGAATGAATTCTTCCCAGGGAGAAGAAAGAAGATTACATGTTGCGGCCTTAGGTCCATATTCTGAAGCTTGTAACAAGGATGTACAGGACAGATTTTTTGGATGGCTGCCATCAGATCTTTGTCTTATGAATGCTATCTCCCAAGTAGATTCGGACCTACCATTAAAAAAAAAAAATCACTTTTTTGATATGCAGTGGATATAATACAACTGAATTCTAAAATCATGTTTCAAATATTATTAAAAATATTTTGTTCAAGGTCTAACGAACTCAAGATATCTTAAATTACTATTTTTAATGAGACAAGCTAAATGACTCATTCTATCTCAGGCATAGAATCATTACCTCAACTTGGCTCTGGTAATTATGCTCTTTGCTTCTTCAAATGACACACCAATCATAGATTCCTTGTTTACTGAGACAAGCTGATCTCCTGCCTTCAAACGTCCATCCTAACAAAAACAGTAACATTTATAAAGAAATTAATGAAGTGATTTTTTTTTTTTTAAAAAGTGCTGGAATGCAATGAAACAAGTTTTGGGGAAGAATGTCTCAAAAACTTAAGAGAATCTCAATAGCAAAATGTCTTGATCAAAGCCTAATTTGGCAAGATGCATAAATAAAATTACATGGCTCATGTAGTCCATGAATAAATTTACAGGCTAAGGAATCCTGCTTATATTAGGAGATATGTCTGTAGAGCAGGAAAGGAGACCTGTTTCAAACATTCAGCACTACGAGACTGGTAAAGCTTTGATTCTGTGATAAATACGCCAAACACTCACGGGACATTTCAGAAAAAAAGACTAATTTACTTTAGTTTCTGAGTATTCATGCATCTTTTCTTCCACCAAACTGTTCAAGGTGGATTTGGAGAATACATGGGCTGAATTTTTAAAAGTTTAGTAAAGTACCGTAACTGTATTGATCCTACCCATGATGAATCACCCTCTATTTGATCTGCTGTCTCTCCTGTGACGAGGCCTAGTTGGCGGTGCATCTAGCATTTTTGCCATGCCTTGCTAATAATCATTTTAAGTGGCTGCCTGGCATTGTCTTTGTTAAGTCCTGGTTCTGCTCAGAACTAACCTGATATGAATAAGACAGAGCAAATCAACTGCAGGAGTGAAAGTAGTTATCAGGCAAGAATCTCAGTGAGTTGTTTTTTTTCTCTTCAAACTAAAGAAAATACCCCTTTTCTTTTGCAGGTCCTAAAATCCTTCTCTATGTATGAACAGCACAAAGGCAGAAAGTATTATTTCTGTAACCATGAGCAAAGCTTGTACGGTGCTATGGTTTGGATCATGAGTGTCTCCCAAAGGCCCCTGTATTAGAGGCTTGGTCCCCAGCTTGGCACTATTAGGAAAAAGTGGAAATTTTTGTGGCAGGGCCTAGTGGGAGGTCCTGGGGGTCCCTGGGGGAAGCCCTTGGAGACTGAGACCCTGCTCTCCTTCTTTCTTTTGCTGCCCTGTCTCGAGGTGAATGCTTTTGCCTCACCATATGTCCCATAGCGATGTGCCACGTAGCCCAAAGCAACAGGCCAGCTGACTATGGTCTGCAGTCCCTAAAAATGTGAACCCAGATAAATCCTCTCTTCATAAGCTGATTACTTCATGTACTTGTTAGAGTGACAGAAGGCTGACTCACATGTAAGGTTAAAAAGCTAGATTTTTCACTCTGATGGTACTGAAATAACTTCCACAATTCAAGGAAACATTTCACTTTAAAGTCTTATCTGCTAAAATATAGGCCTAAAATAATCCAGCTTTGATCTGAACTGCTTTACTTATAAAATGGTGATTTATTGCAATTTTATTCCTAAATAGTTACTTATGTTTTCTTTTTTAAAAGATACCAGTATGTAGTATTATCTCTTCCACTGGCTGATGAATACAGAAGAAATAATATAAATATAAATAAATATAATATATAAATATAATATAAATAATAATAATAAATATGAAACATTCATCAAAAAGAACTTTTAGGAACATATTATTTCAAATAATTTATAAGAGGTTTACGCTCTAAATGTATAATGATCCTATAATCCTTCTGAAATAAAAACACTTAAAAAACTTCAACCAGCTGGGTGTGGTATGTCTATAATCCCAGCACTTGGAAGGCTGAGGCAGGAGGATCACCTCGAGTTTGAGGCCAGCCTGGGCTAGATAATGAGTTCAAGGCCTAACTATATGGTAAGATACTGCCTAAAAACAAATAAACAAAAACTTCAAGCAAAAAAGGCAATTTGACTTTAAAGTATATAAAATCGGAAAATTAACTTGGACTTTCTGTAAATATATGATTAAATATATCGGTCAGACAATATAACATACAATGGGCATAGCCCTAAGTCACTGATTTCCTTACATTTGGCAAATATACGGGGAGAAATGTACAATAACAATGCTAGAAAAAACTAAGTAATATGGAGAAAGTACCTAACATATGGATCTTTCTTTCATGTTCAATAAAACAGAAAGGCTAATTTTCTAAGATATTATAATCACAGTTTTGCATGGCTGGGCCCAAATCTTATTAAATCATATTAATTTCATTGTTCATTATATTTATTAGTCATTTACACACATACACTCAGATGCTTATGGCCATTCATCTGTAATTTAATATACTAAATTTTAGTTTAAGGACATTCATTCATGGAAGGTCAAGATGAAATGGTAACAAAAGCTAATAAAAACCAGGGAGAAATAACTACATTTCTAGGGAGGGTTCATTCCTTGGGATTGAGGGGGGAGTGTGTGATTAGGAAAAGCACAGACTGTCTCAATAGTAGTTCACTTTTCTCTTTCTCATTAAGTCAGTCGACATGGGTTCACCAGTGTTCATTTTATTACGCTTTATAAATTGTTAAGTTCAGCTCTAAATCAAGGGAATCTACAAAATAATTCCTTTTTAGAAACATTTTAGTAAAATAGGTTTTAAATGAAATTTAATGACTACATTACCATCAATTTGTATCCCAAAGCTTGCCTGATAAAATAAATTACTATGTCACTCGATCAAAGCATTTAAAAGATACTGACAGGGAAAGTTTCTTTTAGAATTCTGGTAGAAGATGGTAATAATTAGATTTTTTAAATATAAACATTCTCAGTATTAATAATTCTTTCCTTTTATTAACTTTCCTTGAAAAGGGAAAATTCTACAATGACTATTAACCAGGTGGCAGGTATTTTTCACTTAGGTAGGTAGAAGCCTTTCGAGGCAAGGGACTGAAGCAGAAAGAGCATAGGGTTCAGCAATCAGAGACCTGAATTTGAATTTGAGTTCTGCAGATTAATAGCCAGATCTTCACAAACAATGAGAAGGAGGATGGAGGAGCACACAATCTTGTTCACCGTGAATTCGGAACTAAATTCTAAATTACACGGTGAGAGCTCCCACATTGATGTATCTTACAGAAATCACAGCTGTCTGGGTTGCAGGGAAAAAGGCTAGGAAAAGACAGGAGGGCAAGGGGTTTAGGCTGACCTACAGCCTTCCAAGTCCTCCTCCCAGGCTGCCCAGGGTTAGCACTTCAGAGGAAAAGCTTTCACGAAGACCATTTAACCTATGTTGTTTTAAATTACCTAACATAATGAAGTAGCATTTTCCATCAGGATAAGAATCAGAGAAGAGAAGAAGAAGAATGCATTCTGACCGTAATTTCTGGTCTTTACGTACTTTCTTACTTTCTAAAAAGTATTTACAGCAGTTTGTTTTTTTCCCCCTTGGTGCCCAGAATAAGATCTTAGCGGATCATGTGAATTTCTGAACTTGTTGAAAAGTCGGAACCTGCAAATGAAAACAAAGCTATTTCTGGAAAAGTCTGGCGTTCTAAGAGAGTGAGTTCTTCCTCGGCTGGATTAATGTATATGTGAAGCCACTAAGAGCGGATGTGCCGAGACCCCTCCCTCAGTGTAGGTTCCGGCTCAGCAGTGACTGAGCAACCGCCGGGGGGGGGGGGCAATGTGCCAAGCACTTCACAGGCTAAACTTCAGAATCTGAGCTCTTTCGCAATGACACTCATCTAGACTTTGAAATAATAATGTATTCCGAACCATTTTATTCACAAGTACTTCTGTTCAACAACTACCAGCATTGTTCATTTCCAATATGACAGTATTGCAGTTTACTAAATAACATTGTCATATTGTCAGAAACCATGTCTACAGCCTGATTCTGACTGAACTAACTCACTATTCCTAAAAGGAATGCTCCTTTGTAAGTCTTTGGATTCCTTTCTCATATCTTCACCAATTGTAGACTGAAGGTATTCTTCTTTTAACTCCATTCATTAATATTGTTTGAGCAATTGGTATGTGTATGCATCATACCAAGGAAATTATATAAATAAAATCAGATAGAATCCTTGCCCTTAGGAAACATGCTGTCTTGTGTTGAGCACAGACATGTATGTTAAAAAATAACCACAGATATGTATGTATCATTATAAACTGAGAGTGTTTTGGAATAGGATATAAAGGAAAGGAAAAGAACCTAAGAATACATAAAGAAAAAATAACACCAGGTCTTATTTCCAGACATACTGGAAGAGAACGGGGAACAGAGCCCTTAGGAAAGAGTCATAGAATTGCTATCTGGAAGTAATGGAATGGGAAGAGGATGCTGTTTTCATTCTAATGGGATAGTACATGAGGTGAGGAATAAAGTGGCCTCTTTTAGGAAATGGGGAGGTTGGTAACCTCGAGAAATATGACAGAATGACCAAAAGACCATTCATTAATATTGAGCAATTGGTAGGGGTAATGCATCACAATAAGGAAATGTCTGATGGGGAGCTACAGGAGTTGGGGCACAAGCCACAGCATCCTGAGCCCTGCAGGCAACCAAGTATTAGTGAGGGAGGAAAGCAGGCATGGTGCAGTAAAGCAGGCAAAGCTACTGAGAGGGCTGACAGAAACTGATGCTGGTTTAAGCTATGGTAAGAGTAGAGAGCAAAAAGACCGACAGGCTAAAAAGACATTAGAGTCAACAATATGGGCTGCTGAGCTGAATATGATTGCCATGGAAGAGGAAGTAGCTAGGAAGCTGGCAGGTTTTCTAACTTTGTACAAGTGGAAGGTGCTACCCATCACCGGAAGAGGCCTTGACTGAGAAGAGATGAGAAGAGGGAGATGTGAGGTAAAAATCACAGATTCTGCCTCAGAAGTATTGATTTTGAGTTGCCTTTAAGAAATCCAAGTCAGCTGGGCGTGGTGGCCCATACCAGTAATCCTAGCACTCGGGAGGCTGAGGCAGGAGGATCATTTTGAATTCAAGGCCAGCCTGAACTACGTAGTGAGACCCTGTCTCAGAAATCCAAGTCAGAATTTTGGTCAGAAAATTATATTATTGTGCATGATGTTTGAAAGAGTGTCTAGGCCAGCAAAATGTCTTAAGACGAAATACTGAGGACTCCAGATGGATAGTGGAAAAACTGAGGGGATAAAATGGGCTTTGGACTTCTCATATTTCTTTAAATCACTATCTGGTATATTTGCTCTCAACCTACAGGCTGCCTCTAGCTCTGAGAACAAGAGTAAACTTTTTTCCTATTTCAACTGGAAAACTGTGTCCATAAATTCTAAATATGTTTTTCAAAGAAATACAATATTTTGGTTCTACAGAACCAATACTGTATTCTTGTATTTGCTAGGGGGAAGACATTTGTGCAGAGCATGGCTAACCACGTATTTCTTCTATGAATATAGCTACTATATAGTAATTTTGTACAGATGAGAGATTTATTAACATGGCTAAAACAGTATTTAAAACAATATAAATATATTATTATTTTAAAATAAAGTCGCATCCATTTTGCATTTACATACAAATGCATATCTTTCCATCTTGAGGAAATATTAAAAAATAAATGTAAGCCCTAGAAAATTACTTATTTTTCTACATCTTTCTCTATTTTGGTTGTTTTCTTTCATCGACTATCACAAGACCATTAATAACTCTGTGCTGCCCTCTAGTGGTGAGTAGAGAATATACTGCTAGAAAGTTTTAATTTTACTTTTTCAATGAAATTCTAAGACAGCCAAGAAGACAAAGTGTATTTCGCGGGTATAATTTCCTACTTTGCAATTGTTGGCTGCAATAAAGAGTCATTCAGCACCACTGGTTATCAGTTTATTACTCTGAGCTGAAAATATTTTTCACAGAAATAAAAAAGCACATCTTATCTTAAAAGCAAATTCGTGCTAGTTGGCAGGCACCTTGATCTATTATTGTATTATATCAAGTGTAATCTAAGATATACCTTAGCTATACTTAACACCTACACACCACCACACACCTTCCACACCTCTCTCAGCATTAAAACTACATTAGTACTGAGCATCTCACTTCTTAAAAGAATATTCACTTTTTGTTTGTTTGAATTTGTTTAATTACAACACTTGAATATGCTTTTATTTGGTTAGTAGTTAACAGTCAAAAATTAAATCATTATAATATCCTAAGCATTATGTAATACATAGAAATAAAAAAACATATTTGAAAGATGGTGGTTATCTAAACAAGTCTGAAACAAGCAAAATGGAAAGTTCTTGGAGAAACTGATTATTTTCTTAGTAAGGAAAAAAAGAGCCAGTTAAAAGATAAATTGCTTGCTAAATAAGTGCTTGCAGTGGAAGAGGCAGTAAGAATAGGATATTTATTTAACCAAAACAAGAAAAACAACAGCAAGAACAAACTTAAGTGAATCCTTTTTCTGCTATATAGCTTGATATTAATAGAATATTTTGTTAAATTCTTATATCTTATATCTCCTCAAAAATAGAGGCAGTTTTCAGTAAATATATAAACATATTAGTAGAAGAAAAATAGCAAATGAAATCCAAAAGTGATAAGGCAAATACAGCTCTAGTTTGTTAACCAAGTTGCTAGAGGTTTGCTTCAAATGTGGATCTCAGTGTCTTAGTGACCACAGCACAAAGAACTCATGATATTACATATTCCTCCACTGAAGAGGAAAGTAAGTCTCTCTAATTCCTAAAAACAGAAAAAATAATAGAAAGGAAGGAAGAAAACAGAGTGAAGGAAAAAAGCAATTTTCTGGTCTTAATTCTAAAGCTAATTTTTCATGTGGGCAACTAATGACTGAAATTATTAACAAATTCAATGAGTGTAAATTCAGAAATAAGTAGATTTTGTTTGTTACTTTGGTTATTTTGTTTTAATATGCATTTAAGAGAAGCTAAAAGAGTGTAATTCAACTTATCCAACTTAATCCAACCACACAGTGGTAGGTGATAACATGTCTTCAAATATAATTTGTCTCAATAGGATACCAAATGAACAGCATAACACTAAATATATATATGTTTTATATTTTAGTTAAAGTCTGACATGTCTGTTATTTTGATCTATGAAGAATCCATTCAATTGTTGATAAAGCTCCTTCAGGGTAAAGGGCGATTTTTCAGTCCTTTTGTATCTTTCCCTGAGAACATGCAGTTTAAATTAAAAAGATACTGAAAGTAAGCCTCACCACTGGTAATTTTTTTTAAATGGGGGTAGTGGTGGTATTTTTATTTTTTTATTATCGTTATTTATTTATTTATTTTGGTACCAGGTATTGAACTCAGCACCTTATGCTTGCGAGGCAGGCACGGTGCCACTGAGCTAAATCCCCAGCCCAGTACTCTTATTTTTATTTTTACCTTATAACAATCTCCTCCAGGAATGATTTCCTGAATATATACCAATGGCCCTTCCTTCCGGTTAATTCCTCCTAGGATCTTCAGACCAAGGCCCGTTTCTTTGGTAAACGTAATCATCTGAAAGGCAAGATCCCTAAGACAAAGTAAGGCAGCAGTCATAGGTTAGGCTAGAGATCTGTACCTATATTTTTCTTTAAACTACTTAAATCAAATTCTAGATCTAGACAACCCACAGTACTTAACACATACCAGAGACTAAATTTAAAAGATATAGTAATAGAAAATTAAGTAAATGAATTTTCTTTCCTATATTTTTAATGCTGTCTTATAAAATAAGTAAAACAAAAGAATTTATAGCACTAATGCTTGTGGCTCTTGGATAGAACTAAGAAAATTATGTTGAAAATAGTTTTAAAGTTAATTTAAAGGTTTATTAAAAGTGATATAAGAGATTCATTTTTTGTTGATTACCGCAACCACTGAAGGACAGCAAAACTACATATTTTAATAATTCGGTAAGAAACTTTGATACTCTTGTAGACATTTAAAGCAAAATAAATATCACCTCCACATGACTCTCAAAAAAAGTTCTATCTTTTTAATTTAGAAAGAGTATTTTGCTATTAAAAATTGTTGTGCTCCATACTTAACTATAACCATAAAAAGAGAATTACAAGTCAAAACTATTCAGATACTACTGTTCACTTATCTTCTCAACAAAACTTAAAACCTGAATAATATACTCTGATCACAAAGCTGTTGGAAAAGAGGCACTTTTAAACAATGATAGTGGAAATATGAAATGGTACAACCTCTAAAGAGAGAATATGGTTATCATTAGCAAAACAATTAGCCTCTCTACTAATTCAGCAACCCTATTCAAAGACCTTTGGGCAACAAGCAAAATTATTTATATGCTATGCTCTTCATTTTGGCAGAATTTGCCTTCACCAAAAATTGCAAACAGTCCAAATGACCACCAAGAAGTTACTGGCTGAATAAACCATGGTACATACACACAGCATGGAATACTATGAAGTTTTAACAAGGAGCAAGGAAAATCTTTAATATGGAGTTGGGCCGGGGATTTAGCTCAGTGGTTTCGCCGCCTGCTGCACAAGCACAAGGACCTGAGTTCGATCCCCCGGCACCAAAAAAAAAAAAATGAAGTGACCAGGAGGATGTGATTTTTAAATTAAGAAAAAGGAGCAAGAGCAAAAAAGGATATATAATATGATACCTTTTAGTTAAGACTATTCTGGAAAAAAAACACAAAACACATTTTCTTTATCCAGTCTCCAGTTGATGGGCATTTGGGCTGTTTCCAAGTTTTAGCTATTACAAATTGTGCTGCTATGAACATG